TGTTTTTATATGAATGTAATTTGCAAATACACCAGATTAGTGCACATAAACAAATTTTTTGTGTTTATGCAAAGTTTTCAGTCACATTTATTTTAATAAAAAAAATGTCCACAAGTGGTTGAAATATTAACCACAAAATCTGAATAACTGAGCGCTTCTTCTGAATGGATTGTAGTCGATTTTTTGCTAAGCAATAATCATAATAATAATAAGTATTACATGTTTCTTACATTTTACATATTTAAGTATGTTATATAAACTTGTAATAGACAATAGAGTCACCACTTTTACAAAAACAGAATTTTATTATTGCTTGCCTTATGCAAATGTATTAAACAAATTTCAATGCATTAGCGGAAAAAGTATTAAACACATAAAACAATATCTAGTATTTTTCAACGGAAAATATTATGATGACTGTTAATAGCACGCAATGAAATACATTTAAGAGCAATAATTGCAAAACATTTCATTACATAGCAGTACCTCTTGAAAAAATGATCAACAATACTCCACTATGCCCTACGACTCGATTGTACTATCCAAGTTCCTCTATATGTAACGTAAACTATAAATTTTCAATAAAATTTTCCTCTAAAAGGATATTTTGAAGTGCAACTTAAGTCAGTGAACGATTTAAATATTTAGTCGGCACATGAAATATTTAATTAGACTGTCGTTGGCATCGGGTTAAATAATATGCGTTTTTCCCATCAAATTATCGTACCTATATGCTACAAATGAAATATATAAGAACAGAGAGGAATGCGGAATTGAGAAACTGAGGTGAAGGATACAGACGGAATATGGACAGCGGTAGAATATATGAATGTATACTCATATACATTTTCAGATATATGAAAATATTTATTATACAGAAGATTCACGATTTATCAAGTTTATTAAGAATAAGGATATATATATATATGTATGTATGTATGTATGAATATATATATGTATGTATGTATATATGTATGTATGTATGTATGTATGTATGAATTTATATATATAAATTTTATATAGATGTGTATTACTTTGTTTTATATTTAGCGGGAAACATAGTCAGATAAACTGCCATCATTATCACAATGTGAGACAATCAATGGTATAGAGAAACAGTATAATTTTTCAATTACACATTTATGAGATAAATATACTGTTTTAAATTGATCATTAAATTTGTATTATACAATAATGTAAATTTTTTGTAACATTAATACAGCAGCAATTTTATTACAAATTTATACTCAAATTTTTATATTGCATTTTACATGATTATATTATTCAGAGCAAATTTTTATTATGCTTTCGTATTTCCATCATTCTATTTCGTCACCCTATGTGATAAATGTGAACGTCATATAAACAGCTTATAAAAAGTGCAAATCGAACTAGTACAAATCGAATAGTAAAGTTACTACCAAAACATGCACCTATCTATCAAGGTAACCATACATATATAAAAATCCTTTTGTCAACTTTTCGTATATTTTTAGGCCACTAAATTCAGTTGTAAAGGTACAACGATGTTCTTTGAAACTTTCTTGAGCAGAGCAAACATATGCTTGATATCTATAAGCTGTAGAACTTTTATATCAGGCAAATATTTATGTGACATCTCACGATGTCGATTTTGAAACTTTTTATCATTTTTCTCATATATTGAATAATGCTTCAATTCATTTTTGCATGTATTGTTATTGTGTAAAAACATTTGTAACTCTGTGCAACTTATACAATATAAACTTTGTAAAAAAAGTTAGTATTTTGTCAGTAAAATTTTCAATATTCATTCATCCTTTCAAAGTACAACAATAATGTTTATAGATAATATTTATAGATTTTCAAGTAAAATTTTTAAGTATTCATTCATCCTGTCAAGATACAACATACAACAATGTAATTTTTATAGATAATATTTATAGATTTAAAGGCAAAAACTAGTTTTTTCCAATTTTTCGCGGGTTTTTTCGGTTTCTTTCTCAAGAGATAGAAAAATTCATGCGTATTTAATTAGAATCTGCCACATTTGCTTCCGCAAAGAAGATAGTTGCGTGTATTTAATTGAAGATAAATGAATCCAATAAGCAATTTGTTAGCAGTCTGACAAATTGAACATGACCTGTTAATAAATCCGTGGTTATCTGTGTCCACAATCTACTGTTGTTCTGTTGACAGAATTTGCAAACAAAATCTGACAGCAGATTTTATATATTATGTATCCTGTATATTTTTTAGTATTATTGCAATTTTATATCGATTATATTTTTATATCGATTATATAGTAATCACTACATTATTACAGAAAGTGTTTTATACCGTGAAGGTACTTATTAAAAGCTGAGATTCTACGATGACATTCTAATTCTTGCATGTTTTATCTCATAATTTCTGATCCTAAAGTTTCTTTTTTTTATTTATGATAATGCTAGATATAAAAACCACACATAAATAAATGAAACTATAGTTAATTCTTCTCTCTTTTCTCAATGAAAATAAAACATTTTCTCTTAAAATATCTTCTCTTTAAGTAGCAAAAACAGCAATTTTTCAGAAATTAAGAAATCCAATATTTCGGAAAAAAACTCACTTTTTCCTAGCAATTTAAAAGCCAGTTTTTTTTAATTATAGTAATATGATATCTCAAGATTCTCCAAGTTGGTTTTTCATTTGCAACAAAATTTGCAAGGTTAATATAGAACCAATATAACAAAAAGTATAACACACCGACTTAAAGTATAATACACATAAAAATAAATAAATTAATAAATAAACATATAAAATATACATCCTATATACATTTTATACTGTGTGCGATTAATTTGTGAATATAATTGAAATCTGCTTTATTTTTTGCAGATTTCAATTTATTAATAAAACAATTTAAATTATTACGGAGCTGCCTGGCTTTCAGTCGGGATTTCGCAGAACACTTACGAAATACTCTTGAAATTCCACGTAACATCGATTCACACACACACACACAAATACGGTAATGTAATTTCGAGGATAAGCAAAGTGCCACGTGTGAAACCACTTGCGATTTCAAGCGCTTAGGTGCCCGATACATCCGTTAACTCGCGTCGCTTCAGGTGCAACGGATTAGACACGCATGCATATTCATGCTTATACCTATGTATAGAACGATTTGCACGTCGACATGAAACTATGTCGAGAAAACGCGCGGCATCGACACATAATGAGTCTCACGTTGAATAAATTATTAATATCGCGACATACAAATTCGCGCATCGCTTCGATAATATTCGATAAATATTTACTATGCTGATCGCGGAACCGCAGGAAAAAAAGGAAGAAAAAAACGGATGGAAATGAGAACGCGGACGAAACCGTTTCGTTATTTTTATTCGAATCCGCTCGATCATGGAGAAACGTGTAAACAGCTAAGGAAAATATATGGTTTTAAGGGAAAGTTTTGGTTTATACAGACGAAAAGATAGGAGGATTTTACGAATTTTTTCAAAGAAATGTATAAGAAGATTAAAGATATCAACATAGAGTTTTTACGATTTATTATTATTTTAGCCCTTCCTGGTCACACTTCTTAATCGTAACAAGTTGGTCACATGGGGTGTGGCATACCCTAATGTCATTTTCGTGTTTTAATCAGATCGCATTTTTACATTATTTAGTGCTGTTGACACAGTCTTGAAGGTCAACATTGCTAAAAACATTGTTAAAAACATGCTCCAATAGTTAGAAAAACAAAAAAAATCATATACTTAGATTTAGCGTTAAATTAAGAGTTTCGGAAATATGAATTTTTTTTTCAAAAATTCGCCAAATTTTCAAATAATAACATTAGGTCTGGAAACTCCGAAACTTTACTACTCAATATCTGTATTTTTTGGAAAAAAATAATTTATAAATTGGTCTTGAAAAAAAGTTACTTTACAATGGGGTGCACTACACCTCGTTCCTGCTTTACGGACTGCTGGAAACACACTGACGCCTCGCCGAGCCAACCGAAACGTATAGTTGGGAGTCTTGACTAACGGCCGGTGGCCCTATTTTAAATGTTTAAGTAATTTGAAATTGAAAATTGCTTGGGATACTATATACCCTAAGTGACCAGGAAGTATACAAAATTATTCTTTTTATTTAAAGAGAATTGAAATTTCGTTGTCATTCAATTTTCTTTTTTCGTATAAAAAAATTAGGAAAAATATTAAAATTCTGTTCAAATTTTTCGTGCCGTGTGTCACCGAACGCCTTTAATTGGTAGATAACATTACTCGTGTAATAATCTAAAACAAATAGAACCAAACAATTTAAAAACTGCATTAAATGTAGAATAAACTGTTATATGAAAAAAGTCGAAATTGAACAAAATGTCAACACTTCAAAATTAAAAGTCATTTTTCCTCTCTTTTTACCTTTTATTTAGTGTCCGAAGAAAAATATTATAATTTTAGAAACTTATTAAAGAATTTAGTACATATCCTCCAGCAAATTTAATAAAGTTTTTAAATTTTTTTGTTTCATTTATTTCAGATTATTACACGAGCTTTAATATTGTTCATCAGTTAGAAATCTTCGGCGACACACGGCGGTTAGTACAAAAAATCTGAACAAAATTTTAATATTTTTTTTATTTTTGTATACTTAAAACAATGATAAATAGTATAGTCAAAACCCTATATTAATATCTTTATTCGTTTCTTTGAAAAATTCATATAAAAAACTCTTATTTTTCTAAACCAGAACTTCTTAATCAAAGATATATTAGCAAAGTATGTGTAATCTGTTTGACATACATATACAAGCACAAACGCGTGCGCGAATCGTATACGTATAAAACGTTATTTAGAGCGCAGAACGAATTGTCAATATTTCAATCGCGTCGTTTGAGTCACAGTTTAGCAGGCGATGTATCATGTGCGTTAACATAGGCGTGCCATCGCCTAGATATATCATGCGATCAATGTGCATAACAGCCCTTTATCTTTGTTACTAATGTCATTATCGCGTGTATCTAGGAGATGGACTGCATCGTGAATCAGATGATGAATGTCGCGGAATATCTCGGCTGGGACGTTACGGAATTAAAGCCGGTAAGTGAAGCTAAGTATCGCTTTTCGCACATTCGCGAGAAGTTTTAATTTATCTCTTGCGTTGGTATTTAGATGATAGGACACTTACGTGGTTATTTAAGTTGGCGCTTACAAAAACATACATTACTTACAGAACAGTTACTTAGTTACATAGAACAGTTTAGACATATTTTTTTGCGGTAAAAGCGCATTAAATGAGCGCAATTACAAGCCACTATTCATGAGCTATACGCGGTAATTCGTTATGTCATGGCGAATAATAATATATAAAGGATCTTCTACAACGCGGTTGCAGTTACGTCCTGAAATCGTAGTACTAATCCATGAATCGATTATGTGCCTATTTCCTTTGTGCAAACTCGTGAAAAATGGGAAGTTTTATTGAACTCATCAATGAAACTTTTCATTTTTACGAATTTATGCGAGGACAATAAGTACATGATCGGTTTATTGATTAGTGGTACAATTTTAGGACATAACTGCGGCCGCATTGTAGATGATCCTTCAGACGTCCGACATTACAACTACAACAGAAGATTCAAGAAAAATGTAAGTATCTTTATTGTAGTCTCATCTATCAGATAAGAGTATAATAAAAGGTTAATATTTACACTGTACTGCCACTTTAACTACTATCATAACCGACTACTGCGCAAACTACAGTAACGACTCGTAATTGTGACTTGAGGAAGTAAAACATCTTTACCGTACGCGTGGAAAACTTAAATTCAAAACTCTAGCTGTTTTGTTTTTAATCTTTTATTACAAAATTTGTGTGAGATTAGATTAGATTATTGATTATATTATTAATTATATTATATTATTGTGTATTTAGATTATTGTGTGAGTTTAGATTATATATTAATAAAAATGTTGTGTATATTGGAAAATAAAAAACGAAATAATGATAGAACAGTAGCCGTTTCCGTGAAACCTCTCTTTTTCCATGTTGAACCTATTAACATCCTATAAAAATTTGTGTGTATATGAACGGAAATAGGAAAATATGTCCTTAATTTGCAATACATTCTTTAGATGTTATCATAGCCGATTTTTCTCCAAAAATGTCTAACTACACTAATCTGTCAAAGTTTATTTTACAGAAAAACACTTTTTATGAGATATTTTTTTAATAATTTTGGTTATTATATAATATAAATTTACATAAATTTACATAATTTTATACTAAAATATTAGAAAATGAAAAAGTTACAGGGTCTTGAATTTGAGCTTTCCACAAGCGCAGCAAAGATGTTTTATCCCTATGTGTATACTCGGTTGCCAAAATTAAAACATAATGCAGTTAAGATCTCAACAAATTGTCAAAATTTAAAATCATTACCGACGGGCGCTTGCGCATTAATTATATTCTTAATTGTTATTCTTTATTGGTATTATTTATTATATTATTAATTATGTTATTAAAATTATAGTATTACTACATAAATCTACTGATAATAACTTTCGGTTTTGACAGTTTAGCGAGTTCCCTGTGTCAAAACCAGTCTCTACGTTGTGTCTAAACCATTGCAACATAATATTCCATATATGCTTAAGCTGAAAAATTTTGACTTATAAACAATAGAACGTCTGGAAAATGCGATTTCAATGCGGAGGGTTGAAGATAGAACTTTTCCGAGTTTTCTATCTGCGATAGGACCTTTACTATTTTCCACTACAAGAAGCAAAAGGAATTTACGGTTAATTTCTCTTGCAGCTGCGACAAAAGACCGATCATGATCCGGCAGGTGCAATTTGATTTCAGATTCTGCAGGACATGATGCTAGAGATCGACTACGATGCGGATGGTACGGTCTCGTTGGAGGAGTGGAAACGAGGCGGCCTCACGACAATCCCCCTTTTGGTTCTTTTGGGTCTGGATTCCCACGTGAAGGAGGATGGGAACCATCTGTGGAGGTTGAAGCACTTCAGTAAACCCGCTTACTGCAACCTCTGTCTAAACATGCTAGTTGGCCTCGGCAAGAAAGGGCTCTGTTGCGTTTGTGAGTAAGAAATCCCCGATATTCCCACCATTTGTATTTCGCGACGGTTAAAACAACCATAATCGACCGTAGTTGCCTTGCGAGAACGAGAAAACAATCGCGCAAAACTAAACGCAAATGGCTTCTCTCGAAGAACAAGGTAAAAACGCGTGTTTATCCAGAACCAAAAGAAAACAAGAGAAATGCTTGTAATTGTCGTCCAGTAACGAGATCTATTTTCTCTTTTCCCTCTTTCTAATCAGTTTGCAAGTATACGGTGCATGAGAGGTGCGTGCAGAGAGCACCAGCCTCCTGTATAGCCACTTATGTCAAGAGTAAGAAGACATCCCAAACGATGGTTCATCATTGGGTCGAAGGCAATTGTCATGGAAAATGTTCCAAGTGCAGAAAGACGATCAAGAGTTATAACGGTATTACCGGCTTGCACTGCAGATGGTGTCAGATAACCGTGAGTAATCTCCTGTTCAAAATGATATGAATATAACACAACTGTCGTCTCATCGTGTCGATTTAGCTTAGTATACTTTGGATAGGAAAACGTCCAGTACATACAAGAAATATTATTTTGCTGCTAAGAATAGCAATTACTTAACTTATTTTCGTTCTCTTAAGTAATGATTATTAACTTAAGTAATGATTATCAGTACTTAAGTAATGATTATCTTCAACAAAGAATATTTTCTTCATAAGAATCTTAAAATATACTTCTCACAAATTTTACAAAAGTTTATTATCATATACTCGAAAGAAGAATTTAATATCTTTACAAGAATATTATAAAATTTTATCGAAGAACAAAATAGCTTATATACAGGATAAGGCAATAACTATTACTATCTTAAATATTTTTTTTAATACGTGTAGTCCAAAGGAAAATTTGTGTAACCAAATAGCATAGTACAAAGAAAGCTATAATATGGCGATAATGACTTTTGTCCAAGTAGAGGTATGCGGAGATATCAAAGTCACCCTCATTTTTTTTAATCGTTATGTTTTGTTCCCATCATATGATAAAAGGACTCAAAACAAGTTCAAAACATATAACACAAGATCATTGAATAAGATTAAAAGTAAAAAAGCGATAAAAAAATTACGGATACAACGTGCACGATTGACTGATATTCATTTTAATTTAATTTAATTTTATTTTATTATTAATTTGTCCTAAGAACTTGCTAACATGAGAAATGCCAAGATATCTCAAATGGCTAAGATTGTTTTTTAAATGAATACATCTTGCACGATGGACTGCTCTACCGATACTAATTTGTTTATATTCATATTTATGATATCCTGTGAACGTATTAAGATGTTCTTCAAAGTGTCTTCAGCAAAGTGTCTGTTTTCTTTCCTTAAAGTATCTACCATTATTGAGATGGTATCATTTCAATAGAAAATAAACTGAAATGGAATGTTTAATTTCATTGAATTTTTGCATTACTTTTTAATCATAAGTTTAATTTATGTGAAATAAAGATAGTTTTTCGTAAAAAAATACCGACTGTGAGCTTAAAATTTCAAAAAAAGAACGCTAGCGCTCAGAAAGAGAAACAAAATTCTGCCGGCAACATTTTTTATTTTATTTATTTTACATTGTAAGCGCAGAGCTTGGAATGGTTTTAATATTAAATTATTAAATAATAAATTATAATTTATATAAAAAAGTTAATAAGTCTTAATGTTAATGCGTCTTAAAATAAGTGATTTTACGAAAAAGTTGATTTATTTAAAATTAACTAATTTAAGTTGAAAGTTATTAACTTTTTAACTTTTTAATTTAACTTTTAATTGATTAACTAATTACTTAATCTTGATTATCTTCTATCTTGATTATAGTATATAATATATATTAAAAACAATTAAAATATAAAACTTCAATGGAAAATATACTATTGAAAGACATCTTAGCATTTCTTATCTTAGCAAGTTCTCAGGACAAACTAATAATAAAATAAAATAAAATAAAAATTAGGTAAAAATCAGTCAATCGTGTACGGTGTATCTGTATTTTTTTAGCGCTTTTTTACTTTTAATCTTGTTCAATGATATATGTCTTATATATTTTGAACTTGTTTTGAGCCTTTTTATTATATGATGGAAACAAAATATATCAATTCTATTTAAAAAAGTGAAGGTGACCTTGATATCTCTGAAGTGCCTTTATTTGGACAAAAGTCATTATCGCCATATTATAGCCCTCTTTGTATCATATTATTTAGTTACACAAATTTTCCTTTGAACTACATGGATTAAAAAATATTTAAGGTGGTAATAATTATTGCCTCACCCTGTACAGTAAGCAAACGAAATTTTTGTTTTATTTTTCTATTGTGTTTATATATTTTATTCTTTTCTTTTTATTTATTAAATTCTTTTAGCAAATTTTATATGGTTTATTCTATTCATAAAAATTATTAATTATTTGAAATTAAATAATTTTTTTTTCTATATTACTTGACAAACACTTCAAATCTTAATCTTCTGCAGTAACCTAATGTATTCATAAAAATGAAGCTATATGTAAGCTATATTTACAGAACAATATAGTAGAGAAAGAGAGAGAGAGAACACACATTAAAATAATATATTATTTCAATTTATATTTATTATAAACCTCCCCTATAATATATATTATATACTATAATCAAGATAGAAAATAATCAAGATTAAGTAATTAGTTAATTAATTAAAAGTTAAATTAAAAAGTTAAATAGTTAATAACTTTCAACCTAAACTAGTTAATTTTAAATAAGTCAACTTTTTCGTAAAATTACTTATTTTAAGATGCATTAACATTAAGACTTATTAACTTTTTTATATAAATTATAATTTATTATTTAATAATTTAATATTAAAACCATTCCAAGCTCTGCGCTTACAATGTAAAATAAATAAAATAAAAAATGTTGCCGGCAAAATTTTGTTTCTCTTTCTGAGCGCTAGCGTTCTTTTTTTGAAATTTTAAGCTCAAAACGGTCGGTATTTTTTTTACGAAAAACTGCCTTCATTTCACATAAATTAAACTTATGATTAAAAAGTTAATTATGCAAAAAACATATATTGCATTGCATAATTTTTATTGTAATTAGTTAACTCAATTTTAACTTAATTTTTAATTAAGTTAATTTTTGTTTATATAACTTTTAACTTAAATAAATTTTATAGGGCTTTAACTTTGAAACTTATTTCGTTAAAAATATATGTTAACTTACCCAATTCTGACTATATTTAACAATTTAACTTTTCTATTGAAAAATGTAGTAATTTACACTGCATTTTTTAAATTGTGCTTAAATTGCATACCAAAATCTTTCGAGAGCACCTAATTATATTATCTCTCCCTCTCTCTTCGTCTTAATTTGAAAACTCTACGATTAAATAATTTGCCCACGACCAAGTAGTACATTAATTGTCAATTTTTTGATGTTTGTTCAACAGCGTATGCGCAAAATCAATTATACATCTCGACTATAATTAATAAACATCGCGCGATTTATCGCATAATGCAGGTAGAAATATTTTAATTCGAACTAATTTTGCACGAAGTGTTGAAACAGCGCGCGCACATGATTACACGAAATTTAATTGAGACGATAATATGAGGCGAATTTGTGACCGTCTGTGTGCATATTTTATGGGAATGTTGCAGCTGCATAATAGATGCGTGTCGCAAGTACGAGCGGAATGTACGCTCGGCGAGCATGCGGTGCACATCCTTCCACCTACGGCGATTTGTCCCGTTGTTCTGGATAGACAGAGGTCGTTTTCGAGAGACAGCAAACGAGGTAGCAAGTACGGCCAGGACACCTCATCTGTTAGTTCCGTACGTACGACACGATGACTTGTATAAATTATTCCTCTCTCATCATTAAATGTCTTTTCTTACAAATAAGAATATATAATTATATGTCCTAATTATTCTTCTGTTGATTATAAAAAAACTATAATTTTTTTTTAACTATATTTTTTTTTATTGTGACCTGAATTATAAAATCGTAAATTAGTTATGGAACTTGTTGTATAAATTAATGAAGTTTATAAGTAATTCTTCGAGTGCACTATAGTGTAAATTTTCACTATTGACTTTTTCAAAAAGTGATTTTTCCGTCCTACCGCCAAGTGAATTAAATCAAATGTAAGTCAATGTTTTACTCTTGTACTTTCTTGATGGTTTTTACATCAATATTGTCAAATGTTTGATCTTCTATTTTATATTAAAAAAATTGGATTTAATCAATTCGGAGCCGAATTATAAATCGGCAAAAATCATTAGTGCAAAGGCCGTGGCCGGTTTTCGTATGGTAGGATGTCCCGAACGATATCGGACTCATTTTCATACACATATTACATCATGATGCAACATTAAATTACTCATCATGTCAACTTCTGGAACGACGTGATTCCGGAATTATATCGTCAAACTCAAAAATAAAAAAAAAATTTTTTCTTTGAAACGAGAAAAGCCATAGCTTTGAAAAGAATATGGAAAGTAAAATATATTACCTTAGGGAAAATTCAGACAAGTATGATTTGATTTGATTTGGACACTCATAGTCCAAAAAAACATTTTAATTTTCGAAACACGATTTTTTCAACATCCTATAGAGTCATCATCATATTTCATATGCAACATTATTATATACTCATGTATAATATTTATTTTAACGGAGATGATCGTGACAGTACAACATGATTAAAAATACAAAAAACTAAAAATCTTTTTTTTTTTTTAAGAAAGTGAGTGCCAATTTGGGAAACTTCGGGTTTTTAACTACATTTTTAAAATATCGTAAAACTGCTCTCTTAATACGTATACTTCTCATATTCTCGGAGATTTTGTCCAAGCTCTCTTCCAGAAAAAAATGATATAGACAACTAAACATAATTTGCTGTGTTAACCATTTTTTCTTTGCTGCAGGAACCAATTTTCTTGCTAAGATAACAAGAAAATCTGCTCCTGCAACAAAAAAGTAGCTAAAGCAATAAATTATATTTAGTTGTCCATCTGTAGTAAATTTGCTGCGTTAGTTACTTGTCTTGTTGTACAAGCAGATTTTCTTGTTATCAGTAAGGAAATAGATTCATGCAGCAAAGAAAAAGTAACTAACACAGCGAATTATATTTAACTGTGCATATATAGCAAATTAATTTACTGCTGCAGCAAATCCTTTTTTTTCGTACTTATAAGAACAAATGTCCGAAACACGATCTTCGACACCTCTTATTAACAGACAGATATTTTGATCCTTTCTGCATTCAATTAAGATTAGTTTTATTGCATTTACATTAATAAATCTTCGTAATCAGTATGCAATAAACGTATATTACAAGAATTCTTTTTTTTTCGAATCCTAAATTATCGCAAACGAGCGATTTAAAAAAAAATCGTACCGATCAAGTTGAAAGGAAGAAACAAAATAAAAAAACCTACCTAACTGATTTAAATAAAATCGCAGTTGGAAAACACGATGAAAAAAGAGAAGCTCAATCATCGTCACTGTCTGCATTGATTGTCGAAGCAATCGGTCTTTATGAAAAATAAAATAAAGAAAAGCGGTCTCAGAATTTTTGACTGATATCTTGCAAACGCTAGATAATATAATACGGTCGCCACATGTGAACAGTGTGTAAAAATGAGCCCGATATCGCTGAGGGTATCCTACCATACCAAAAACCGGCCACGACCTTTGCACTTATGCGTCTTCCACTAAATAAGTGCGCTCGAATGGTTAAGGGTGTCCCAGACCTCCTTCTCACATTAAATGAGAATGTAGAACGGGTTGAGGTGAACATAAAAGTCCTATACCGTTTTGCGATATTCGCAATAATCGAGATATTAATTAAAAATTTGGTGAATAATCACACGCGAGTGTTATGGTAAATGAGCTGCAGTGGCGCTGTCTGCCGTTGTATACTTATACATTAAGTCAAACTGAACAAAAAAATCCTTTACCATTTTATAAATGATCGCGTAGATTTTTAGATATTAATTAAGGAAAATTTATGCATTATAGTACACAATCATATATACAGGGTGGACCATTTTAATCCATCCAGTCGAATATGTCGAAAACCAAGCACGGGAGAGAAAAATTTTTCAGACAAAAGTTGTTTGGTTTCGAGGGGACCATAAGATGGTACCATTGCTTTGACCTTGAAGAATTATTTGAAAGTCACATGAAAGTCACCTCAATTTTTTTAAACGGCATCCCCTATTTTCTATTATAGATCTGGAAGATCTTACCTTCACTGGTTGGATCATGTCCAGATCTTGCCTTGACCGGTTGGAT